GAAACACACAACCAAATCGGTTCCAGTCACTAGGAATCATTGCTTCTACTGATATGCTATATGGAGAAGAATATTTTTTATAATTATTGAGACTAGTTCTCTGAACTGGAAGAAGGGAGGTTTGGGGAGGGAGCAAAAAAGTCATCCAGTATTTACCTTGCAGGAGAGGAGAGAATAAAGCCACCGAATAGTATCTGGATGCTCGCTTACGCCCCTCATTCCATCCACGTAGAGGATAAGCTGCCCCAAAGCTAAAAAAGCCAATAAAAGTATTCAAAGAAAATGTGGCACTTATCGACTGATAAGTTCTGCTGCTCTTTTTGACCAAAATATATTGATGTACGTATGTATCGCAGCGGAAAGGGCCCACGAAGGCACCATCAAAAATTATGCGAATTATTTTTAAAAAACGAAAAGTCGGCAAAGCACATGATTGGTGGGCGGGAAACCCAAGGGCAGCAGGAGCCAAACACACTCATCGGCATTTCGTTGGTCGTAGATAGGGAGGACTCTCACTATCTACGAAGAGATGCAGCGACCACTTGCGCGTGAAGTCTTCCATAACGCGGCGGACTTGCGATGTAACTACATCACCCAACTCCTTCTCCGCCCATCGTTGTCCCACGACAACGTCAAGGCGGTCGGACACAGACGTAGACGCAGGGTGCGATAAAGTTGAATAGTCCTCTCGCGCGTAACACATACGACCTTACCCCTAGTTACGCACAGCCCAGACCTCAATGGGGCGGCCTCAGATCTCACATAAGCGGGAGTGTCACCGAGGCCATATTAAGAGGGGCCGCTACAGCCCGGCCCCCCAAGCATGGAGGAGGACTGCATTATCCCGCTGGGTGACAGCCTTCCAAGCCATGAATCTTTGCGCGCCGTGATAATTTGGAGGTTGGATTGGTCGTTTTTACTGAGGAACTTAACTACTCCATTCGGGCTGAATCAATTTCGTTCCTGCTTTTTGCTCATGGTCCAGGGGCCTTTTTCGAGCCTATCCGGCGCTAAATGACGGTGGGCGTAGATTTTTATGCGACCTGCAGCCGCCACCTAAGACCTGTAGCATTTCAAGAAGGATCCCACAGGCGTAAGGTGCGCCATTAAGACCACACTTGGAATAGGACACTCACGTCATTTCCCGCCCAAGTAGGAGAGCATGAAGGGCGAGGTTTCATTCTACAGACCCACTCGATTGACAGCATGTGGCTAACTTACTAAAACAATATTCATAAACATACCTAATTAAGCCACTCGCAGGATTAGGAAGGGAAAGAGAGCGTAAGCAGAGCCTGAAGCACGCTCAGGGAAGGGTGTGATAACGTATACACATTCGTCCTGCGACACAGCCACTTGCTGGGTTAGTAGTATAAGGAGGATGCAATCATAACTGAAAGGTTACAGGGGGTACCGCGTGGTAATTCGCAGTGCATGGCCATTGTATTGGAACT